GGGAGCGAAGCGGGTTGGGAAAGCAGAGAGGGAGAAGCGGGTTGGGAAAGCCGAGAGGGAGTGAAGCGGGTTGGGAAAGCAGAGAGGGAGTGAAGCGGGTTGGGAAAGCAGAGAGGGAGCGAAGCTGGTTGGGAAAGCCGAGAGGGAGCAAAGCGGGTTGGGAAAGCCGAGAGGGAGTGAAGCGGGTTGGGAAAGCAGAGAGGGAGTGAAGCGGGTTGGGAAAGCAGAGAGGGAGTGAAGCGGGTTGGGAAAGCAGAGAGGGAGTGAAGCAGGTTGGGAAAGCAGAGAGGGAGTGAAGCAGGTTGGGAAAGTAGAGAGGGAGTGAAGCGGGTTGGGAAAGCAGAGAGGGAGTGAAGTGGGTTGGGAAAGCAGAGAGGAGCGCTGAGGGGGTTGGGGTGGAAAGGAGGGTGGGGAAGAGCCATGGGGGGAGGGATGCACGGCACGGTGTGGATTGAGCGATGCTCAGGTGCCTATGGAGGGCAAGTACCTACCTACGAAGTGCACGGAATGATGCTCTGATTATCTGGGTGCATGTGTTGCATTGGAGGTTTGAGGTGTCTCAATACCCGGATTACCAGGGTGCATGTGCTGAATTGGGGTTTTTGAGATCTCTCAAAACCCAGATTATCAGGGTGCATGTGCAGCATTAGACAGCAATGACAGCACACAACAAGGGAGTGTAGAAGCAGGTCACACGCGTGCGATGCGAGTGACCGGGCAAGGTATTGGGGCCGTAAAACAACTCGCAATCACACTAGCGGGGACGGCTATGAATGAGGACATGATATGAGGTGCATCTTATAGGAGGCTCTGACGTCATCATAGGGGTTTTAGGCATCATCACACAATTGCTGACGTCATGGCACTGGCCTCTTACCCCATGGCGAATTTCATCTCCATTTTGTCAATAGATCCTGCCATTCAACGCCAGTCAACACCATCGCCAAACAACGACAATCAATGACAGTCAATGACAGTCAATGCCAATCAACGGCAGTCAATGCCAGTCAACGCCATTCAACACCAGTCAAGGCACGCAGGATACATGCAAGATTACTTCAAATTCTGGTGAGTCGTTACTACTATGCCTGTGCCACATGCCCCACACCACGTTATGAAAGGTAAGAGATGGAAGTGCGATGTGATAGGTATGCACGGCATGACACGGCATGACATGGCATGACACGCAGGGATACATGTTCATTATTTCAGGTTCTGATGAGTCACGACTCTTCGTTCAACACTACCCCACACCACCTTATGAAACCAGAGATGGAAGAGCAACATGACAGGTAGGTATGCGTATGCCCGGCATGGCACGGCACGGGGCAGCAGGGCACGGCACGCGGCGGCATGGCATGGCATGGCACGGGGCGGCATGGCATGGGATGTCATGACGCAGCACGGCATGGGACGGCACAGCATGGGACGGCCTGGCACAGCACAGCATGGCAGGGTACCGACAGGCAACGAGTTGACTTTTTGAGTCGACTCAAAAGTCAACTATGGCACAGCATAGCAGGGCACCGACAGGCAACGAGTTGACTTTTTGAGTCGACTCAAAAGTCAACTATGGCACAGCATAGCAGGGCACCGACAGGCAACGAGTTGACTTTTTGAGTCGACTCAAACGTCAACTATGGCACAGCATAGCAGGGCACCGACAGGCAACGAGTTGACTTTTTGAGTCGACTCAAACGTCAACTATGGCACAGCATAGCAGGGCACCGACAGGCAACGAGTTGACTTTTTGAGTCGACTCAAAAGTCAACTATGGCACAGCATAGCAGGGCACCGACAGGCAACGAGTTGACTTTTTGAGTCGACTCAAAAGTCAACTATGGCACAGCATAGCAGGGCACCGACAGGCAACGAGTTGACTTTTTGAGTCGACTCAAACGTCAACTATGGCACAGCATAGCAGGGCACCGACAGGCAACGAGTTGACTTTTTGAGTCGACTCAAAAGTCAACTATGGCACAGCATAGCAGGGCACCGACAGGCAACGAGTTGACTTTTTGAGTCGACTCAAAAGTCAACTATGGCACAGCATAGCAGGGCACCGACAGGCAACGAGTTGACTTTTTGAGTCGACTCAAACGTCAACTATGGCACAGCATAGCAGGGCACCGACAGGCAACGAGTTGACTTTTTGAGTCGACTCAAAAGTCAACTATGGCACAGCATAGCAGGGCACCGACAGGCAACGAGTTGACTTTTTGAGTCGACTCAAACGTCAACTATGGCACAGCATAGCAGGGCACCGACAGGCAACGAGTTGACTTTTTGAGTCGACTCAAACGTCAACTATGGCACAGCATAGCAGGGCACCGACAGGCAACGAGTTGACTTTTTGAGTCGACTCAAACGTCAACTATGGCACAGCATAGCAGGGCACCGACAGGCAACGAGTTGACTTTTTGAGTCGACTCAAACGTCAACTATGGCACAGCATAGCAGGGCACCGACAGGCAACGCACAAGAACTATCTGGGACTTGGAACTAGCCCTGTGTAACCTGCCCTCCCACACCCCTCCACACCCCTCCATACCACTCTATGCACCTCTGTCATCCATTGCCCACCAATACTGAACCCCCCCCCTGCTTCCCCCTTTCCCCTTAGCCCTGCTCCCCGACCCATCCATAAGAAGCAGTCCCACCTTCCAGAGCAGCCCAAAAGCATGTCCTAGAAGCAAGCTGGATGCGACTAGCTACGGGTATTAAGGATCCCCACTCACCCGACTTGTCCGTATCGAACACGCTAAATATGTCCTCAATCTTCGCCATTTGCTGCGGAGTCAGGCCCCGCGCCGCGCCAGCAGGCGGAGCCGCTGCAGCCACCGCCGCCGCCGCCGCAGCTGCCGGCGCGGCTGCGGAAGCACTCTGGTACGCCCCGCGAACATCCTGGTGGGATTGGCGCCCGCGAAGGAACCCCCCGCAAAGCTTCCCCCCACTCCCGCCGCGAAGCTTCCTACCCCAGCCCCTCCCGCCTGGAACTGCCGCGTCGATCCGGCGCCCGGCGCAAAGACCCGCGACGCGCCCGCGGCACCTCCGCCGAAGACGCGGCTCTGCGCGCCGGCGTGCGCTTGCGCTTGCGCGTGCGCGTGGCGGGTGCTGGCTTGCGCCATGATGGACGTGAACTGCCGGCTGAACTGCTGCGCCGCTGCGCGGGAGCTTGCGCCCGGCGGCGCAGCTCCGCCGATCGCGCCTCCGCGCAGAGGCGCGGGTCCGCGCGGGGCTGACCCCGAAGGTCCCACTGCCGCGTGTGGCGCCGGCGGAGGCTGGTTAGACCTGTTGGGCTCCCAGCCGCTGTTTCCGCTCGCCATGGCGGCGCTTGTGGGGTCCTCGAGTGCGTGTGGTGCGCGTGTGGCGTGCGCGTGGCGTGTGTGTGGGGTGCGCGTGGCGTGCGCGAGGCGTGGGTGTGCGTGTAGTGTGCGTGTGGGAACCTTGTCTGCGTGTACGTGTCTTAGCAACAGTGGCGATACAAGGTATTAACGGGCACCTAAAGGCTGCGACTGGAAGCGTATGAACGAGCAAATGCGCGAGATTTCTGAGAATGAGCACTTGCGTCCGTGTTCGGGTCTATGTGCACAAACAGCCTGTATGCTGTGCGAGTAATGAAAGTGACGCGGGACCACGATACTGATTTTTAAGTCGACTCAAAACTTATGATGGTAACGACAGCTGGGTGCACCGAGAGCGTACAGATGCAAGCCAGAGGACGAGACGAACGGGAGAACGAGGGGTGCCGGCCAATGTCAGAGAAGGAACGAACGAGTGGCGCAAGTCGGAGGACGAGGAGCTGTCAAGAGACGTCTCAAAACACTTCTTCAAACGAGTGGCGCAAGTCGGAGGACGAGGACGGGAACGGGAGAACGAGCCGTGTCGGCCAACCAACCAAGTCGTGTCGTGTCGCGTACTAACTACGCCGTGTGAGGAGTACAACGAAATTTACCGCTCCGACTTTGGATCAAATTTACTATTGGAAGCAGCGAAGCGCGCCGACAACAACAACAACAACAGAGACCCCGCAAAGCCTACATAAAAAAATAGCTCCTGTGAGGTTCTTCTAGACTACGCCTACAGATTCAAGACTCGCGAATTCGAAATGAGTAGTATACGCTGAGCAAGCTTGAAGTACCTTGGTTGGCACGGGTGGGATGCTGCTGAAAAAGGGGCAGCGCGGCAACACAAGGAACGAGGCCTCGGGCTTGCCGTGTGCAGCGGGGCTTTTGGCGGGAAAGCGGGAGCTGGAAGTACGGAGGAACGCGTCAAGTCAACAAAGCACAAATAATTCCGCGGTAAGGGGATTTACGATAATCCTCGACACAAGCAAATACTTCACCAAGTAAGCGAGCATAAAGGGCACCCATAATAATCAAGGCAGATGTTATGAGTTGTAAAAGAGAGTGCGCAGGTAAACGAATAACGAGGCTGTGACTGAATCAACTGCGAATACAATGAATGCACAGACTAATGTAGGGCTAGCCTAGCTAGGAGGAAACCTCGGACAAGCGAGGTTGGGTGCAGGTTGGGCGATGGAAATGCGAAGGCGACGCGAGGAGCCTCGGCAGCGTTGAAATCGGCCTAACGTGCGAACTCTGAAAATCGGGTTGTACGCAAAGCAGTCAACCCCGATAAGGAATTCAGGAAAATTCCTTACAGCAGATACACCTCGCTATCCATACCATTTCAAAGAAAATCCCAGTACCGTATCCTTTATCATTAAAAGAACGATATTCCTGATAAAATAACAAATTATATGTTTTTACAGGTTGCTTGTATTTTCCTTATTAGACAGGCATGTCCGCCTCTGCTACTGGCTGGGTGGAATCGAGGGTATGCTGTGAGGGGAGGGACAAAGGGAGAGGAAGTGAGAGATGAGGGGGAAGAGGGAAAGGGGTGATGAGATGGGAGAGAGGGAAGGGGATGATGGACGGGAAATAGGGAGGAGGGTGATGGGAGGGGAAGAGGGAAGGGGGTAGGGAGGGGATGATGGACTAGAAAGAGGGAAGGGGATGATGGGACTCGAAAGAGGGAAGGGGATGATGGGACTCGAAAGAGGGAAGGGGATGATGGGACTCGAAAGAGGGAAGGGGATGATGGGACTCGAAAGAGGGAAGGGGATGATGGGACTCGAAAGAGGGAAGGGGATGATGGGACTCGAAAGAGGGAAGGGGATGATGGGACTCGTAAGAGGAAAGGCTGAGGGATGTTGTGGAGGGTGGGAAATGGGGCAGGGAGGGAGTCAGGAGGAAAGTGGTGACAGCAAGAGGTAGGGAACCCCAACAAGAGTGAGAGATGGAGGGACAGAGCATCAAGGAGAGAGAAGGAGGGAGGGAGGAAGAGAGAAAGCGGGGGAAGGAGAGTGCAGCAGCCGAGGTGCAGAGCGGGACAGGAAGAGCCAGAAAACACAGCGAGACCTCTCAGACTGCATCTGCTCTTGCATCTGCCCGAAATAGCGCTTCTCCTGCATGTTGCTGACCTTCCTCCAATCCTTCACCCTCTTCTCAGCAGCCTCGGCATCTCAAACCAGTCCCTGGCCAGCAGCCTCTCCAACTAGACCACCTTTGATGCTTCCCTTTCTGTGTTTCATGTTAATGTCTGAGTCAGCTCAAACGGCCTCCAGGCAGCCTACCTGTCCGGCCATCCACATTTTGATCATTCCCTCGCATTGGGTGTTCATCTAGGTTAGAGACTCTGTGAGACGAATGAATTTCAGCCTCATATGCCTCAGCCTTCCACACCCGAGCCTTCCACACCCTAGCCTCCCACACCCGAGCTTCCAACACCTGAGCCTCCCACACCTAAGCCTCCCACACCCGAGCCTCCCGCTGACCTTTTACACCTTCGTCACCCATCACTTCGTGGCCTTTCCCCACCTCCGCGACACCCTCACCCGCGCAGCACCTCACCTGCGCAGCATCCCACCGCGCAGAACCCCACCCGCGCAGCACCCCATCCGCGCAGCACCCCACCCGCGCAGCACCCCATCCGCGCAGCACCCCACCCGCGCAGCACCCCACCCGCGCAGCACCCCACCCGCGCAGCACCCCATCCGCGCAGCACCCCACCCGCGCAGCACCCCATCCGCGCAGCACCCCACTCGCACAGCACCCCACTCGCACAGCACCCCACTCGCACAGCACCCCACTCGCACAGCACCCCACTCGCACAGCACCCCACTCGCACAGCACCTCCAGCCCTGCAAGCAGACTCGGAACCTACCTGCGAATCCTCGTCGCGCGTCACTTCTTCGCCTTTCCCGCCTTTTTTGACGCGCGAGCTTTCAGCATCTCCTGAATCGTCGACGTGGACTCCGCCGGCCGCGGCTCGAGCCACGTCAGCGGGTGCTGGCGGAAAGCGGGCCAATCGGGAACCACCACGAGGCACGCGAGCAACGTGGCGCCTAGATGAATATACATCATGAGAGAGAAAGAGGAGTAGAGGAATCCGGCACCGAAAGCTATGGCGGCACCCGCGAGGAGAATAATTTGCATCAGATACTCCGCGAGGCGCTGGCCCTGCCAATCCATGGCGACTGTGGCGATGCGGATTGCAGTGATGCAGTTTGCGGCGATGCGGATCACTGCGCGCGGGTTCGGCGGGTGCGACGATACGGATTGCGAGGCGAATGCGAAGGCGAAATTTCCAGATTTTTTCGCGATATACTAAGCAGAGCTTGGGTTGCAGTGGCGAGATCGAGTCAGATTTGCTCAGACACGGAGTAATTCGAAAATTTTCTGGATTATGCTTGATCAGATAACGGACTGGGGTAATAAGTCTGAAGCTAGTCGGGATTATGCCAAGTGTCTGTAACTAACGCTTCCCCTTGCTGGTACTTCGGGTGTCGGGAGAAGATCATACAGGGGCCGAACAGTGCCAGAGGGGTGATCAACCAGGGGCCAAGAGGCCCGGAAATTACCAAACCGCTTAGCAAGGAGGAATTAACAGAGAGGCTTCATTTATTTCACGTAATAATGTTACTAGTGGCATGTACCGGCTCGCATTTTCGCTCGCGTGTCGTTTAGCGAGCAGACTCTACCGGGAACTCTAGGGCAGCAAAAAAAACTAAAACTCATTGGGAACCTGGATGCGATTTTGGGATGGATAAACCCTAAAAAATGGACCTTCCTGGTATTTAGGGTTGATCCCTCCCGAGTCACATCCGTTTCCGAATGGGTAATATATATATATATTTTTTCTGTGGTTTCCGATTGGATAGGTGGTATGCATCACCCAAAATATATTATGTTGTTACGTAATCACGATTTGACACACCAAATTCAATTCAAGAAGAAGGCGACGCACGCGCTGTAGTAGGCGGCGGTCAAAACCCTCAATAATTAATAAGAACTCAAAATTAGGTTTCTTTTAGCACTTATTTTTTAATTATGGTTAGGCTTGTTTGCCGAGTCGTTTGGTCAGCTCCGGGTTGAAATCATACGGTCGAGATTTTTCGGCCCTACTTTGATCACCCTTCTGGCACTGTTCGGCCCCAATATGATCTTTTCCCGAAAAAAAAAAAGGTACATTGGGCGCGTTGGGGGTGCTTGGCCTCCCTGGCGAATATTCTACGAACGCGCCGTGACAATGCTTAAAGCCCACGTCGAGCCTCTCAACTCGTTATTGTGTACCGAACCTGGTAGTTTTTCTTGTGCGCTCATGGGTAACAGAACGCATCACAACTAGTTCGCTCGGACCTTACCTAGAGACTTCATTTACGAGCAAACGGGAGGCACCGCCTGTGCGAACCCTATCCGAACATCCGAGGTAGAATAAAGGGACGCACAAGCAAAAACGGGCAGATCTGAACGCCCGTTTTTGGGACATTTGTCGATGGATTTACTCACCACAAAAGCATATCAAACGAGAGGTAAGGGTGAGCCCAAAGGCTGAAGGCTTGTGAATGGTTGGGATGAAACGTTTTGGGCATCCTGGGCAGCCTGGGCATGGTCAACGAAAAAAAACAGAACGGATTGCAAACCTTCTTAGTCGTTAGCAGCAAACTTCGCCGATTCCGCGGAAGTCTTGACCCCTTCGAGGAACATGCTTTCTGTAGGCCTTGTGTGGAGGGCCCTATTTGCTTGTGCGGCAAGAGAGCGATGCCATAGGCCCTGTTCGATAGGCTAACGCCCGCGGAATCATCGCGGCTGTTTCGACAAGGGTTTTTTTTTTTTACGGTCAGCCCGTAATTTGGTGACACGTGGCTTTAACTGGATCTTGGGGGGTTAGTGTTAGCCTTTCGAACGCTACTTTAAAGCAAGGGTGCACATTCGTAAGGGTGGTTTTTGGGGGCATTGTGTCAAACTATGTGTTTCTTGTTGTGTAGGCTGTAGTGGGATAGCCCATATAGGGTACAACCTAAATTAGGGTTTGCTACTTGTACCCATCCTGCTGCTAGTTCATTCATCCTTGTTCATTATTTTGACATGGTATCAGAGTAGGTCCTAGCCTAGGACCGATCTCTTTGGGCCCACCGAGTAGCGCTACCCCACCCGTCGCGCTAGTGTGATCACGTCGTACTGCCCTGCCCTGCACTGCCTGCTGCAGCGCGCACTGCTTTGCGTGCGCGCCGACTATTGCAGCGCGCCCTGTTGAGTCGCGCGCCGCCTGCTGAGTCGCGCGCCGCCTGCTGCAGCGCGCCCTGCCCTGCCCGCCGCGTCGCCCTGCCGCGCGTCGCTCCGCGCGCCCTGCCTGCGCCCGCGCGCCGCGCCGCCACGCGTCCTGCCCTGCCCGCGCGCCGCGCTGCTGCGCGCCCTGCCCTGCCTACGCGCCGCGCCGCCGCGCGCCTCTGCCTTGCCAGCTCCGTCTGGGTCACTGTCAGGTCTCCACCTCCCCTCGTGTCTCTATGAACTAGGTGAGCACGGCTGTCTTCCAGGATGCGGGGTTGACACCTTCACCCCTGGACGGCAACGTGTGGCGATCTGTACGTGCTCCCGGACCGGCCCGCACCTGGCCACGTTCACCCGTCGGCCTGGGTCGAGTCTGTACACACTGACTACTACGCCTCCTCAGGTAAGCTGCGTCTGCGTCAAACATCAGGTCAGCTTGCTGCCCCCTGCTCGTGTCGCGCCCTGTCGCACCAGACGCTCCTTTGGCACCACCGTCTTGGTCACCCCTCTGTGGCACGCTTCCGTGGCATGCACTCCCGTCTCCTTGTCTCTGGTCTTCCCAGATCTCTGCCTCCCCTCCCACCGTCGCCTGCCCCTCCCTGCCTTCCCTATGTCGAGGGGCGGGAGCGCGCCGCTCCTCCCTCCTCGTTCCTCCCGACAAAGGCTCCCCTGCAGACACTCCATCTAGACGTGTGGGGGCCCGCGTCCGTGGACAGGGCCACGAGCAGTACTTTCTGCTGGTTGTCGACGACTACTCGCGTTACACCACGGCCTTCCCCTTGCACCGCAAGGGGGAGGTCCCTAATGTTCTGATCCCTTGGATCCGTGCTGTTCGTCTCCAGCTCCGCGAGCAGTTCGAGACAAACCTTCTAGTCCTGCGTCTGCACTCTGACAGAGGTGGTGAGTTTTCCTCCGACCTCTTGCGGGCCTTTTGTCGTGCGGAGGGCATTCGCCAGACGTTCAGAATGGGGTTGCTGAGCGTCGCATTGGCTTAGTCATGGAGGTCGCTCGTACCTCCATGATTCATGCGGCTGCCCCCCATTTTCTGTGGCCGTTTGCAGTCCAGTACGCTGCACATCAGCTCAACCTCTGGCCTCGTGTCTCCTTGCCGGAGACCTCGCCCACACTGCGTTGGACGGGGGAGGTTGGCGATGCGTCGGTGTTCCGGGTCTGGGGATGTCGAGCCTTTGTCTGCAATACGTCCGCGGACAAGCTCTCCTCCCGCGCCGTTCCCTGTGTCTTCCTTGGCTTTGTCCCTGACGCGCCTGGCTGGCAGTTCTATCACCCCACCTCGCGCCGTGTCCTGCCCTCTCAGGATGTCACGTTTGACGAGCCGGTTCCCTTTTACCGTCACTTCCCCTACCGCACTGCCCCTCTCCCTCCTCCGCCGCTCTTCCTAGCACCAGGTCCTCCTCCGGTAAACCCCCTCCCCCCTCAGGGTCATGCTCCCCCAGGTGTGTCCCAGGTAGACCATGTCTAGGTAGCTGTCGACTCTGGTGCTGCTAGAGATGGTGCGTCAGGGGGTGCTGAGCCTGCGGGTGCTGGGCCTAGGGGTGCTGAGCTTGAGCGTGCTGAGCCTGGGGGTGCTGAGTCTGAGGGTGCGGAGCCTGGGGGTGCTGAGCCTGGGGGTGCTGAGCCTGCGGGTGAAGAGCCTGGGGGTGCTGAGCCTGAGCGTGCGGAGCCTAGGGTGTTGAGCCCGAGTGTGCTGAGCCTGGAGGCCCTTCGGGTGTCTTGTCACGACCAGAGTCTCTCTCTCCGCTACTGCGCAGCGAGTGGTTTGCTCGTCGCTGGAGCCTCCGCAGTGGTGCTACTGGAGTTGGAGCTGCTGGAGGTGCTGGAGCCGCTAGTCCCGGAGGTGCTCATACTGGAGGTACTGGAGCTGCTGGAGCTGCAGGTACTACTGGAGCTGCTGGAGGTGCTTGTTTTGATGGAGTTGGAGCTGCTGGAGGTACTACTGGAGCTGGAGGTGGAGGCGCTGGAGCTGTTCCTGCTGGTGGTACTACTGGTCCTGGAGCTAGTGGTGCTGCAGGAGTTGGAGCTGGAGGCGCTGGAGCTCGTCCTGCTGGTGGTGCTGCAGAGATGGAGCTGGAGGCGCTGGAGCTGTTCCTGCTAGTGGTGCTGCTGGTGCTGGAGCTAGTGGTGCTGAAGGAGTTGGAGCTGGAGACCCTAGAGCTGCGGGTGCTGGAGCTGTCTTTGCTGGGTTCTGGTGGTGCTTCACGGCCGCGGCCGTACTTCGTTCCACTCCTGCAGCAGGTTCTTGGTCTCCCGCCTTCTACTAGTCCTACTCCTCCCTTACTGTGTCCGTTGCATGACCAGCGCGCAGTCGCAGCTACAGCCAGCCTGTTAGAATCAAGAAGTGATGAAATAGAAACATTTCGGAGTACAAGTATGAAACCCTAGAGAAATGTACCCCCTAAAGGCTAACCCATTGTAGCCTACACAGTAGTAACATATATAATGTTTGACACACCCCCATAGGCTAAGTGGGGGAGAGCAAGGGGTCACAGGACCAGTCAAGAAAGACAAAGCAAGCTCAGGGTGGATCACAACATCACCACACACTCTGAGCACAAGCAAAGGGCCACAAGGCCAGTTCACATGCAGAGGCATATATGCAGTACAAACAACTCAGTGATGTCGACCTAGCAAAGCAAACAAGCAAGTATAGATATATAGAGATCACAGTACAGGCAAAGCCTACAACAAGTGAGGAAAAGTGGGCACAAGCCGCAAGTGTAGTCCTCAGTGTGTCGTGCCACTCACGTTGCGCTTGGCGGAGACCGTAGACCGGCCGCCGGAGGCTCCACCGGGTACCAGGAGGAAACGACCCAGTGGAGCCAGGAGGGCGGCGCAGCCAGATCTCCTCGTGCACGCTGCCCGCAGCA